AGTAAAACTGTATTTATTTTGATGATAGTTGTTAGTGTAGGAATTGTTAAATTATTTTTATATAAAATAATAAAACAAATAAAACAATACAAAACATTAAACATTAATGTTCAAAAAAAAAAATTCCCAATATGTAAAAAATAAAAAAATTTCTAATTCCCTCACTATTTTTCTAATATCACCTCCACCTCCTCCATCCCAATCCCCCTTCCAACCTCCATCTTAATCCCCTCCTCCATCTTAATTTATTTCCTAACTCAACAAACAAACACAACACTAAATAACCTCACCTCCATCCTAATCCCATTTTATCTTTTACACCCCAAAACAAACACGCCTTGGAAAAAAGGTTGTTAACTATTATGCATATCTAATTATTTTTTACTCTTTTCAACAGATTAGTTAAAAAAATAATATTAATTGCGATTTCAATAAAAAAAATTCTTCTAAACTAATTATATTTTAAAAACCTTAAAATTAATTTGTGTAAATAAAAATAAAAAATAAAAAATAATATTAAAAAACATTAATAAAAATTAATTATGTATTTTAACTAGTAAAAAATAGAGAATAAAAACTATATTGCTTAAAAAAACAAAAAACGTAATGAAAAAATAACAAAACATGAAGGCGGTGTTTGGTTTATATTTGAAATTGCGATTTCAATAAAAAAAATTTCAAATATTTTTTCAAAATGTATAATCAAATAACATATAATTTAAAATTCAATTCAAAAATTATTTTCAAAATTCATAATCAAACACACAATTCAAAACTGTTTTCAAATCTTATAACTAAATACACAATTCAAAACTCAATTCGAAACTCATAACCAAACTCTTTTAAAATCTCTACTCCAAAAAAAAATTTTATTTTATTTTATTTTATTTTTTAAAATATTTTTTGAATCATGATTTAGAATCATGATTTGAGTGTGGAGTCATATTTTGAGTTATGAGTTTTGAAAAGAAAAAATTTATTTGGTTATGAGTTTTAAATTGTATTTTGAAATTTTCTTAATTTTATTTTTTAGGATAAATATTTGATATTATAAATATTAATTTATTTATTTTAATGTGCACTGCATTCATACATTTGTTATAGCGATCCTGGGTTTACCCTTGTTGTACAGTGATCTGGACATGTGTCCGTGGATGATAGTAATTGATTATTACCTGGTGTACATCCTTTTTTACTTTGTATTTGAGTTATAGGATGTGTTGGGCAGATTTGTTACAGGTTGGTTGAGATTAGAAACCAAAATTTTTTAAAAAAATAAAAATAAAAAAATAAAAAATAATTTTAAAGAACAAAATAAAAAATATATATTTTAATTTTTTTAATAGAATTTTGAGAAAAATTTTGATAAGAGTTTGATTATGAATTTAAAAAAAAAAATTGAATTACATGTTTAATTATGAGTTTTGAAAATAGTTTTTTAATTGAATTTTAATTTATTTGTTTAATTATGATTTGATTTTTGTCTTATTAGAATAAAAAAATTATTTTATATTTTGTAATTAAAATAATTAAAAAAAGTCCCAAACTAGTTTAGAACAGGCTAATTTAGTAACTTTTTAGCTATTTGACTAAAATATAAGCTAAAAAAAACTATATGTTTGGGATGACTTTTTAAATTTTTATGAAAAGATGTACAAAAAGTAAAAAGAAAAGAAAATTTTTAAATTTTTAATATAAATTGTTGACTTTTTAATTTTTTTAATAATTTTTTGATTTTTTATGATTTTAAAATTAACCTAAACGGAGCTAAAATAATTTCTGCCCTATCCACACCTCATCCGCAGGAAGGTACATAACCAATGACCAATCAGCGTGAGACATGGCACTGACTATACACGTACACTGCCCAGAGATGGACCGGTCATTAATCTGTCAGTTTACACCAAAAAGAGGACAAATTACAAACGGCTCTCCAGATTTGGTAAAAATATAGATTTTTTTATGAGGTTTGAAAAATTACAAATTATTCTATGAGGGTCAAATTTTCATAACAAATTAAAAAAAATTAGGGAGAAATCTATATAAAAATAAAAACTTCAAGCGATAATTTGTTATGAAAATGTAAACCTCAGGGGACGGGATGTAATTTTTCAAACCTCAGAAAAAATTTGCATTTTCACCAAATCTCAAAGAGGTGTTTGTAATTTGCCCAAAAAATTAATTATTAATTGCTCTAGGAACGTCAGGCGTTTATATTCTTATCTATGGCAATTTATTATGGGGGGTTTTGGAAAGATGATTAAAAATTATTTTTTAATTTTTTAAAACTTTTTGATGAGAGAGTGAAGTGAGCTAAAAGTTGAAAAATAATTTTTAACCTACTTTTCAAAATAGCCCTTTATCTTTTATACATTGTAATCCCTAAATACAAATTTATGAATCTCATTTCTCATCAATCACAACGTTGTTGGGGATGGGGACAGCCGTGACAATACTCTAAGGTTCCGTTTGTTTTTGGAAGTAGAATGAAAGGGATTGATAGTGAGGGGATTAAATAAAATTGTATTTATTTTAATGATAGTTGTTAGTGTAGGAATTACTAAATTATTTGTATATAAAATAAAAATAAAATAATAAAACAAATAAAAAAAATAGAAAAATATTAAACATTAATGTTTTTAAAAAATGCCTAACATGTAAAAAATTTTAAAAAAATAAAAATAAAATAAAAAATTTCTAGAAAAAAATAAAACAAATAAAATAATGATTTTTACTTAACAGAAAATATAAAAAATTAAACATTAATGTTCAAAAAAAAATGTCCGACATGTAAAAAATAAAATAAAAAATAAATTAAAAAAAAAATTCTAGTCTCCGCCGGACTATTTTTCTAATACTAAGTCCTAGAGGCCCATCTGAATCCGGAGCTCACTATCAATCCCCTCCATATCTCTCAAAACAAACACAATATTAGTATGTCCCACCTCACTACCAATCTCGATCCTCTCTCTAATTTCCAAGCAAACAGTGCCTAAAATCCCCTGATAATGGGTGTGTTTAATTTAGGGATTGTTTGGAATGTTTAAATAAATATATTTTTTGAATTTTTATAAAATATGAGTTGAGTTTGAAGTGATGTGGTACAGAGATAATGTAACTTAAATAAGATGATATAACTTAAATAGGATAGTGACTTTTTGACTTTTTAACTTTTTTAAAAGATGTCAAACCTAGCCTTAGTTTTGGGAGAAAAATATTAAAATAAAAATTTAAACGGAGAGTTTAAGATAACGTTTGGTAGAGTTTTCTAAATATGATTTGAGAATAGAAGTTGTATTTTGAGTTTGTGAGTTTTGAAATTATAAATTGAGTGTGGAAAATTTGTTTGGTGAATGAATTTTTAAAAGAGTTTTAAAAAGAGTTTTGAATTTAGTGGGAAATTTTTTATGTGACATATGATATTTGATCTAAAAACTTACAACTCTGTACCAAAAAAAAAAAAAACTTACAACTCATAACCAAACACAGAACTCAAAATTTTATTAAAACTCATAAAAAAAATTTAAAAAATTCGAATTTTTTTTGTTGAATATATAAAAATTAAAGTGTCAATTGCAAAAAAAAAAAAATTGCACTGTTCCGATCAACCAGTGGGACGACCAGTTAATCCAAATTTTCTCGTATTCGATCGAGTTTTCAAAAGTAATCATGGAATTAATTTTTGAAGCTGCAAACAAACACCACATGAGAACATTATATTTGAACTAAAGTTCCAAAACTCCAACAAACAGACTCTATTTTTTTTTTTTGATTTATTTGGTTGTATATTTTAGAAATAATTTTAAAGTATAAGAGTTTTTGATATTTTGTTATAATGAAATAAATGTGTGTGAGAGAAAAATGATTGATTAAAGTATAAGAAAGAAAAAATAATTAAACCAAACAAAATTTTAAATTTTTTTCTCTAAAATTACTCTTTTAAAAGCAAACCAAATAAGGCCAATTTCTCTACCTTTTATCATGAAAAATTATTAGTTAATCTTAAGACATCAAGTAACCATATCTCACATCACTTATAGGTTTCATTTGATAAGTGGGTTGATTTTTTATTTATTTTTTATTTTTTTGACTATTTTAGCCTGAGGTTAAAAAATTTAGTTTGGGAAAAAATTTTAAATTTTTTGTGAGAAAAAAAATGTAATAATTATGAATTAGATGTAATATTTTATCTTATTAAACTAAAAAATTTATTTTATTTTTTATGACTATTTTAACTAAAAAAAACTCCCAACCTTTCTTTTCAAGCGAAGCTATAAATCATTATGACACCCAAAATATAAATTTATAAATTTTGTCTCCTCAATCAATCACGATACTGATAAAACATTATGCGACCGTATCACTAAATCAATCAATAATTTTTCCGTATATTATGCGTTAGCCGCCTCGAAAACGTAACATGTGAAAAATATTAACACCCAATCCCCACACCACGGTTAAAAATATGGACAAGTCATCGTTCTCACACGTGGCAGGAAATCCACGCGGAACCCTCTGATGACATGTGCTGACGAGGACCACTGAAACAATCCTGCTGCCCACCTGTAGAAAAAGTTCACCCACCCCCCTCAAACTTCCCACGTGTCTTGTGGACCCCACCTAAAATGGCAGTCTCGTAATTTCCACATATTCTACTGGGCAATTTTCAAACCAATGTAGATAAAAATTAAAAATTTCTCTGCCGGATTAACTCGAGCTAACCCTGTTGCCTGCCGCGAAGCAGACAACAGAAGAGACGGCAACTAACGGTAACGGTAACGGCAGTTCTACGCTTCCTATCCCCCTCCAATAATCAGCTTCCTTGAAAATGCTGTCACCGTTAGCACACGGCCTCTCGTGTACCTACTCGCTTTTCCGTCACTATGTCGTCAGCATAACCGTCTATCTCCGGTTAAAGAGATCTAACCATGGTTAGTTAAGTTGGCGTTTCGGACTCCACGCTACAGAGAGAAAGGAGACAAGACGAGAGAGAGATAAAAGGGGACAGATCAAGGTGTATATTAAGCTGATTTCGTGATTCTGTTGCGGCGTTTCACATTTCTTGGATTCTAGAGAGAGAGAGAGTAGAAGCGGTATTCCGAGCTGGAAAGGCGGCTTTACGGCGGTTTCTAGCGGTTTTCGGTGTGGAAATTGAAGAGACTCTCGGAGGTGTCTTTATACCAGTGAACCGTTTTAACGGTTGTGGATATTAATTGCTTTTGAATAATCATTATTGTGATTGCAAGTAAATATACACGGTTATGTATGTATGAATATATAATGCGGCGAATTTTAGTACGGAGAGAAGGATTTGAGCTCTGATTGATGATTTTGAAGAGGTTTTCATCTTTTTCCTTTGACTTTGTGCTTTAATCATGGCGAATCGTGGGTCGTTTTCGCAGCCTAATTTCTCATCTGAAGGTCAAAAACCAAAATCCCAAGCTTCCTTTGTTGATTTTTCATGTTCTTCTTTTTGCAAAATTATTTTTTTATTTTTATGGTGATATGATATGTACGTATAGGTTATGGAGGTGATGATCTGTATACAGAGCTGTGGAAAGCTTGTGCAGGTCCACTGGTTGACGTTCCAAGGAGTGGAGAGAGAGTGTTTTATTTTCCACAAGGTCACATGGAACAAGTGAGTCTCAAATTCCGATCTTTTTCTTTGTTTGGTGTATCAGAATCTAAAATTCTTGTTTCTTTTTATGGGAATGTTTTTGTTTTTCCATTTTAAGATTTGGGGGTTTGAAATTTTTGCTATTTTTTGATTTTTGATGTTTGTTAGTTGGAGGCATCAACAAATCAGGAACTGAATGAGAAAATTCCACACTTTAATCTTCCCTCAAAGATCCTTTGTCGTGTTATTAACGTTCACCTTCGGGTATGCTGCTTTCTGCTTCTTTTTTTTTTTTTTTTTTTCTTTTACTAATTAAGTTTCTGTTTGGTTGCTGAGAAAGCTCGGGAAAAGTGGCTGCTAACTGGGCTATTATGGGTTTTGTTAGTTAAACCAATTAATCATCTTATTAGGCTAACAACTAAACACAATTCCAAATTAAATTGTCGAGTGGTTGATTGTAAAAGAATTTGTGTTTCTCGTTGTAGGCTGAACAAGAAACTGATGAGGTTTATGCGCAAATAACTTTAGTGCCCGAACAAGATGTAAGAATTTTACATATTTTCTTTCTTGATTCATATAACATGTTTTGCAATCAAACCCATGAAGTTAATTTTCTTTTTGTTCAGAATTTAGATGGAGCCTTAGTTTTTTTAACGGTTTTAAATTATTATATATGCAGCAAACTGAACCAGAAAGTCCTGATTCATGTTCTCCTGAACCTCCGAAGCCAACAGTTTACTCGTTCTGCAAGGTTTTAACTGCATCTGATACAAGCACACATGGTGGGTTTTCGGTTCTTCGAAAGCACGCCAATGAATGCCTCCCTTCGCTGGTAATTTATCTTCTTGTGGAACTTGTTTTGGACTTTTTACTGTTGATTCCGATATTGCCATTTTATTGTTTGAATACCTTGTGAGAACTTTTATCTTTGTCCAGGATATGAGTCAGCAGACACCTACCCAGGAATTAATATCCAAGGATCTTCATGGTTTGGAATGGCGATTTAAGCATATTTTTAGAGGTAATTGTTTTTAGTCCGTCTTGGTTCTAGTCTGCGTGGTGGTGGTGTGATTTAGGAAGAGATTGGAAGGGAGGCATGTCTTTCCACAAAAACTAAGGTCATGTTTATTTGGGTAGACTGAATTAGATGTGATTTGCATACGTAGGAATATTAATCTTGGGATTAATAATCCTCTTGGGATTCAATAGTCTCTCCATATGGGGGATACAATGTCCAAATGGACTATTAGTCCAAACCCCAATTTTATTAGCCAAACATCAGATTATGCATTTTTTGAATTATTAATCTAATCTCAAGGCCATGTTTGCCCAAACAAACATGGTCTGTGGGTTATAGCTCAGTTAGGTTGAGCACCTTGCTTGCATGCGCACCAATGTTTTCCCAAGGGAGTCCATCAAGACTCATAAATAGGAACTAACCCTAATTAATATAAACAGTTATTTGCAGCTGAAGAAATCAAAATTCTCATACTGCCTTTGCACACCTGAGACTTCATTTCACTTTGTCTAAATACGTGCAGGCCAACCTAGGAGGCATTTGCTTACAACTGGATGGAGTACATTTGTTACTAATAAACGATTAGTTGCGGGGGATACTTTTGTATTCCTGAGGTATTTGTCTCTTTTTCTTTTTTTGTCCCAATTCGAATGTCCCACTTGTCCTACACTATCTGCAATCACTTTCTTGTTGGTAATTTAGAGACATCTTAACATTCAAGAATTTGTTCCCTAGGGCTGAGAATGGGGAATTACGTGTTGGTGTTAGGCGTGTCGCCCGTCAACAGAGCTCCATGCCATCATCAGTGATTTCAAGTCAGAGCATGCACCTAGGAGTGCTTGCTACTGCATCTCATGCTGTTTCTACCCAAACCCTCTTTGTTGTCTACTACAAGCCGAGGTATGTTATATTACTTTTTTGTGTTTAACTGGTAGATGTTTTTGTTTAACAGACCACACTGACAATTTATTTTGTTATTGCATTTGTCTGTTATGGTAAAAATTATTAGGACGAGTCAATTTATCATAAGCTTGAACAAATATCTGGAAGCTGTCAACAATGAGTTTGCAGTTGGCATGAGATTCAGGATGAGATTTGAGGGGGACGAATCTCCTGAGAGAAGGTAGTATAATATCATATCTAGGTTTTATGAATTTTTTTGAGTGAAGTTCGTTGGTGATGAACATTATGTGTTTCCATTGATCAGATTTACAGGCACCATAGTGGGGGTTGAGGATCTCTCTCGGCAGTGGGAAAAATCTAAATGGCGTTCACTGAAGGTTAATAAATTTGAGTTTACTTTTCATTGTTTTTTTAGTATGGATTGAAAGTTTTGAGCGTTTCACTTCTTTTTCGTTATTTATTTATTTATAAATTCTCTGATTTTTGCAGGTTCAATGGGATGAACCTACATCTATTGCAAGGCCTGAGAGGGTTTCTCCTTGGGAAATTGAACCTTTTGTGCCTTCTGTTCCTTCTGGCCTGGTCCAACAAGTTATAAAGAAAAGGCCCCGACCACCAATTGAAATTCCAGGTCATGGTGAGACTGATTTGTCCTTCTTAACTCATTTAGTACCTATTAATATTATTATTATTTTTGAAATTTTTGTTCTTTGCATGGTCTGGATGCATCATATTTTCCTTTATTTTCTGGTCATCTTCCTGTAGAAACTGCATCAGCTGTTTGGAATCCTTCCCATGCCCCAACCCAACTAATTGGTAACCCTGAAGGCCAAAGGAGTGAAAATAGTGTTGTCTGGCATCCCAGGCAATCAGAAATTAGTGGTACTATCTTGAATAGCACTGCCAGTTGTGTCTCAAGGACTCATGCCAATGGGGGCTGGCTATCTTCTTCCAATGTAAATGTCCCTCGGAATCTTTTTGCTGATGAAACAGAAGATACTAAGAGCACCCCAGCCTGGTCTGTTCTTTCAGGCTATTCAACTCCACGTTCAGGAAATCAGAACAATAACCCATTGCCTGATCCAATTGAGGGGAAGAAAACCGAGACAGTTTCAAGTTACCGATTGTTTGGTGTCGATTTGAAAAGGCCCTCAATGGGTGCCCCTTTTGGTGAGAAGGTAGCAGTACCACCAGCGAGCGTGTCCAATGTTGGCACTGAAGAACATATACCAACTACACTATCAGGTGCTGATTCAGATCAAAAGTTAGACCTTTCAAATGCTTGCAAAGAACAGAGACAAGGACAGATGCAGGTACTGCCAATGGAGGTTCAGAGCAAACAGAGTTGCTCTACCAGAAGTCGTACCAAGGTATACAACAAAATTTGAAAGAAGACTGAATTTAAAGTTGGCTTTCTTAACAAATTTAATTGTTTTAGACTTTATATTCGCTGTAACAAGTTATTGAAATGAAGTTTGTGCGGTTGCTTTGCAAAGGTTCAAATGCAGGGGATTGCAGTGGGTCGGGCAGTGGACTTAACCTCTTTGAGAGGGTATGCTGAGCTTATAGATGAACTGGAACAGATGTTTGAAATTAAGGGAGAGCTTCGCCCTCGGAATAAATGGGAAATTGTCTTTACTGATGATGAAGGGGATATGATGCTTATGGGTGACGATCCATGGCCGTATGTATTCTCAAACTATTTATCATCTATAATCTAATTTTTTGGATTTGAGGAGATTTATTTCCGAACTCTCATCGTATCTGTTTGTTAAGTCAAATAGTTAATCGTTGTCTTGCAGAGAATTTTGTAACATGGTAAGACGGATCTTCATTTGTTCAAGCCAAGATGTGAAGAAAATGAATGCAGGAAGCAAACTTCCTATAAATGCAGTTGATAGCGAAGCGACTGTTTTTAGCTTGGACACAGTAGAAAACTGAAACACGAATTCCTTTTGTCCTTGTTTTATTGCATCTGTCTTTTTCTTTTTTTGAGAGAAGAGTGGAGGGTTGTTTGGTTTAGTTTGGTTAATTGTTGACTAATTGGCAACAAAAAGATTAACTGAATGGGAAGACTGTACTGTGACGTAAGGGGGGGAACTATTAGTGAATGGGTAGGCTTATAATCTTTGTATATATAAATATTATCAAGGATATTTCTGCTGGATGTTGGGGAGAAGTTTTTATTTTCTGTAGTAGTGGTAAAAACATGTATTTCTCTTGACACTGTAGGTTTTGGTCTCTCTAGTGAGTGAAAATTTGCAAGCTGCTTTTTTTTTTTTTTTTTTTTTTTTTTTTTTTTTTTTAACCTTAAATTATAATTCGCTTGTGTGCTAATAGTGCCCCGATTTTGAGAAAATTATTAAAGATGACAATGGATAACCTACCCTGTGAGTATTTATGGAGATCCAACTCAAATATATGAGTTTTTTTATTTTTTTTTTCTTATCCATTGAGAAGGGTAAGTGATATTCTTTAAATATCCACAGGAGGGGTTGGGAATGGGTACTCCATTAATTTCCCTATATGTTTATTTTTATTTTTATTTTTATTTTTTTTCAAGATTCACAGCCACAACTAAATATACATTCAATCTTTATTTATTTATTTATTTATTTATTCAGGTTCACAACCAATTTATTTATTTATTTATTTTTTTAAAGATCCACAACCAAAATTAAATATACGTCTAATTTTTTTTTTTTTTATTTTTTTTATTTTTTAGGTTCACAACCATTTTTTTTTTAAGGTCCACAACCAAAGCTAAATATACATCTAATTTTTTTTTTTATTTTTTTATTATTTTTTAGGTTTACAATTATTTTTTTTTTAATTTTTAAGATTCACAACCAAAGCTAAATATACATTCAATCTTTTTTCTTTTGTTTTTTTTTAAAATTTTTTTTTAATGAGTAAAAAAGAAATTTTATTGATGAAATCTAATGTAAAACACTGACACAAACACCATTAAAGTAAAGGTAATTGAAAAAAGTATCATAGTAAAATTTTTCAATCCCAACTAATTGGTACCAAGAAACTAATCCAAAAGATACTTGCTAACATGAGTTTTTAAAATGTAGCTATGTTCTGTTGATTCTAGGTTGGCTTGGCTATGATGTTTAATTCGAAGAATTGGGTGAGTATAGGAGGTTTACTCTGTCAGTTGTAAGATTAGTTCTTAGGAGACTCCAAACTTCTGAATAATTAACGGTAAATAAATTTATTTAGATAGAAAGTATTTTATTCTTATACTCTTTATTTAGGTGGCGACTCTGTATCTGGCAAAGCAGTCCATGTTTGGCATTTCTTTTCAAAAATCTGTTTCTCAAAACGATTTGCCACATTTGGACTCTTTTGTTCAGATTAAGAACCGTGACAATTTGAGAGTCCGAGCTGTAGTGACCCCAAATGAACAGAATGGGACTCACCATCCCAGGGCGTTCGGGGACGTCTACACTTACTAAATAATTTTTTTTAAATAAAAGAAATTTTCTTAGTTATGAACAGATTTAACTGAAATCAGCCTCTTTCCGAATGTTATGCTGTATTTATTTAGATAGAAAATGTTTTTTAATGAAAAATATTTTTTATAAAAAAATTAAAAATATATTTTTTTATATTTGGTGGTGGTGGTGATAGAACGAAGGTGAAAGTAGAGATTGTGAAAATTTCAAAATTTTATAACTTTTTTTTTATGTAGATCTATATATACATATATATTTTTTGAAAAAAAAATGAATCGTTTCATCAAGATCTATATTGCAAGATTCATGATGAATTTGAATACAAAATTCTAAAAGCAAAGTTAATGAAATTTTACTTTTTGGTGACTATTGTCTATTCTTTTTCCGGTGATTTTTCAGCAAAATGAAATTTCAGTGATTTCACTTTACTAACTGATCAAAATTTCTGTTGTTTGCAAACATAACAAATTTATATTAAACCCTAGTTAAAACACAGAGAAATTCACAAAATTTCACTAACCTATAATCTCAGAGAAATTGACGAAATTTCACTTACCTACAATCTCTCTATACTCATCCATCCTCTTCAAACACTGAGCCAACTCATAGCAAAATGGAAATGGAACAGCCGAGTAATTTTCAATTTGCAGTTTATAATTATTGCAAGAGAGATTGTGACATAGTGGTATATTTCAATTTGCAGTTTATAATTATTGCAAGAGAGATTGTAAACCTTAAAAAAAAAATTAAAAATATATATTTTTTATATTTGGTGGTGGTAGTGATTGGAACGAAGGTGAAAGTAGAGATTGTGACATAGTGGTATATTAAAAAAAAAAAAAAATAGGAAGAAAAAGTTGTTAACATTGAATATATTAAAAAAGAAAAAAAAATTTGAAGGTATATTTAGCTAAAATCTTAAAAAAAAAAAAACAAAAAAAAGAAAAGAAAAAGAAAAGTTGTTAACATTGAATATATTAAAAAAGAAAGAAAAAAGATTGAAGGTATATTTAGCTAAAACCTTTAAAAAAAAAACAAAAAAAAAAAAGAAAAAGTGTTAACATTGAATATATTAAAAAAGAAAGAAAAAAGATTGAAGGTATATTTAGCTTTTGTTGTGAACCTTAAAAAAAAAAAAAAGTTGTTAACATTAAATATATTAAAAAAGAAAGAAAAAAGATTGAAGGTATATTTAGTTTTTGTTATGAACCTTTAAAAAAAAAAGTGATTGTTAACATTAAATATAAAAAATAAAAATAAAATAAAAATGAGGATTAAAGTGGGTTGGGGAAAATCCAAACCCATTAAGAAATTGGGAGAGTGGTACCCATGGGGAATGGGGAATGAGAAAAATTTATTATAGGGAAATGGGGATGGAGAATTAATATCCACCTCATTAACCCTCATTGTCATCCCTAAAAATTATTAGGTGGTTTGGGGATTTATTATCGTTCTCGTTTCTATAATATGAACTGTTTATTTTGTAAGATATTTTATATATATCATTGTTACAAAACTTAAGTTAATATAATAATCGTAACTTGCTTAATTTATTACATTTTCATTCCAAAAAAATGGTTGGTTTATTTTCAAAAAAATAATTATCCATTCTGTTTTTTATGGATAAATATAATAATTTGAAAATATTATGATTATCAGATTGAATTAATTTTTTTTTTATTTTTTATGTACATGATATAAACAAAAAACTTTACAAAATAAACTTTTTAAATTATCAAAATTAAATCCGTGATGAGTTCTATAAATCCTTGTAACGCCGCCGTGTTGACGGAGGGAAGTCTAGAAGCCCTTTCGGTCTAGAGGCCCTTTCGGAAATTTGTTTGGTGGTGGTGTGTGATGTTGACCCATCATGAAAGAGGTCAAAGATTCAAGAATTTGAGCCTAGTGAGGAAGATACCAAGTGGGTGAGAACAGTCAAACCGCATGGGGCATAGGAATCGACTTTCTTTCAATTCCTAGGATATTCCTTTGCTCTTTGGTAAAATATGAAGGATGATGATGACAGAGATAGACATTTCAATATACATATGAATACGTTTTTACCACTTGAAAACTCACTTCCTGCCAAACCAATGGATGTTAATTGGAAGGTGCTTGCAACATCAGTTTGAATTTTCCACATTGAACTAGTCAAACCCACCTAAAATTATTAAGTGGTCTGTATTTATTTTTTGAAAATAAAAATTATTTATGAGTTTTAAAGTATTCTTTAAATTATAATTTTATTATGAGAATGTTATTTATTAACATGTAATAAATATCATGTGTCTGTGTGGAATCATCATATATAAAAGAAGGGAGATGTTTCTCTCCAGTTGGTTTTTTTAATTGGAGAGTGTTGTTGGGTTTTCATGAATTCACTACGGAACTCACATCAATGATTCGAATTGTTCAATGTGTAAGACTCGTTGAATACTTTATTTTTATAAAAAATTACGTTAATCGGATATCAATAATCACTTGATTAAATTATATTTGTGTCAACAATTTATTTTTAAAATCATACTTTTGATACAAATGTGATATGATTAAATGACTATCATTATCTAAGTACTCAATAAACGTTACACATTGAATGATTCGGATTATCGACGTGACCTTTGTAGTGAGCCTACAAAGGTTCAACAATATGCTCCAGTCCAATATAGACCGGAGAGAAGCCTCTTCCTTAAAGAATGGCTGAAATCATCATGTCACATAAAAAGTTATATTAGAAGTGAAAAGTTTGGTGAAATATTTAGGTCACAACAAAGCACCTCATTGCACTCAATTTCTAATTACATAACAAATAAAAATTTAAAATTTTAATTTCATCTCCTTAACCCACCATATTACTTACTAAGCCTACTCTCATCTTTACACCCTTGATTTTTCAAATCCTCTATACCCCACCCCACCCCCAACAACCACCTTTGGCTATCGCCACCTCCAACAACCAGCGACACCCTCTCCCACTCCTCTTTCTCTCTCTCCCCATTGACCACCCCCCACCCCAAGACCCCTCACTTTCCATGTGCAACTATGCAACCTAGGATTTTTCAAATATGTAGTTAAGGTTTGAAGAATAAGGAAGAGGAAGATGATAAGGGGTAGCTAAAAGGCAGCAAGGTAGGGAGAGAGATGAGAACAACGGTGGAGTGGGCGACAAGGAAGGTGGAAAGTTGTAGAGGCATGGCGCGAAAAGGTAACGGAAGAAGGGATGGTGGCATTGCAAAGATTGGGAGAGAGGGGCAATAAGAGGGGAAGGGGAATTGTGAGGAAAGATAACCGTGGAAGAAAAAGCGGTGGGCGTCAGTGATAAGCTTGGAGGGGTGGTAGATGAGAGAGGGGTGGCCACCAACAGCTAGCTAGGCAGGGTGGTGTTGGCAACAATGAGTAACAAGTGGTGGATAGAGAAGTGTTTTAGTTGTTCATTTTTTTTTAGAACATGAAAAAAACATTTATATTAAAATAAAGCAAACAACATATAACAAAATAAATAACATTATAATTTAGTAAAGTATAACTTAATTTAATAAGTTATACTTTAAATGTGCAAAGTATAACTTAAATTATAAGTTATACTCTGCACAATATGATTTAGTAAAAAATATATTTTGAACCCATAATTTTGGCAAGGGCTTTTTCAGGCTTTTTTCTGACTATTTTAGCCACAAAAAACAAAATAGGCTATTATAACCATAACAAACAAAACATCACATCCAACCTATAATCATTACATTCTTCTCTCACAAAAAAAAGTCAAAAAATCCAAAAAGCCAAAAAGTCCTTCCCAAACCAA